GAGAGTCGGTATTATAGAGGTTTTTTTTTAAAGAAAATATATGAGAATTTTGACGGTACATTGGAAACTGTCCGTAATATAGAGGTGTCCGTACCGAGAGGTTCGACTGTAATTTAATTCTCATTGTTCGGCCGCATCAGGATATTATCAGGAGATCGAAAATAGATGCTATCACGCAGCTCAGGCTACCATTTATTAGAATATGTATTTTCATGAAGTTCCACCTCACTTTTCTATTTATAGCTCAGATTGTGTTCATAAATAATACTGAAATTCCTTTTGCTTTAAAAACACGTGTACAGACAAGCACCTCTCGCAGTTTCAAGCACTCTAAATTCTGCTATCTTTGTTCAAATACAAATTTTTGACCACCTATCCCACGTGACACCAGGATGGCCGAGTGGTTAAGGCGTTGGACTTAAGATCCAATGGACGTATTGTCCGCGTGGGTTCGAACCCCACTCCTGGTAATATTTTCCTTTTTTTCCTCCAATCGCTATCGTTTCTTTTCTATTTTTCTTTTCTTTTTTCGCCTCTTTTAGGTCGATCTTTTGAAAAAAAAAATTGTTAATTTGAGGCAACAACTTCCGCTAGTAACATGAACTAGGAAAATTAATACTTCTGAGAACTCGTATTTGTGCCTCCTTTTGCGTGCTGCTCTCACGTGACTTGTCGCTTCTCTTGCTCACAGACTAGCTAGTAACAAGAACTACTATGGTAAATTTGACTTGTCAGCTAAATACCTACTTATAATTCCTACTTACCTGTCACTTACCTGATAATCTGACCTCGCCCCAGTGTCTTCTCGTTTTCCAATATTTTCGCTCTCGCCCCCCCGTTCCCCAACCCCCCGCCCCCTTTTTCCAGGTGTACAACTTAACTCGCTCCCCACTTACAGCCGCGCTCTACTATCTGAACGCCTGGAACAGGCTACGTCAGAAAAGAAGTAACGCCGCCATATTGGAAAACGAGAAGACCCTGGGGACGAGGTTTCCCGATATCATGGAGTCGGTGCAATTGCAAGTTAATGTCATTTTTCGGGATTAGAACTAGAAGGAGGTTTCAGGGGCGTGTGCGCACAATTTTCTAAATCCCCCTACCTCCCACCACCCCAAAACAACTTTTTTATGTTTTATACATCCAGCTTACCTTACTACATTTGTGCGGGCGTAGGTGCGAAGCGGCTACGAACTGCCACAATTGCAAAGATTCAAAGATTATGCCCCTGAGATCTTTGGATAGCGATTCCACGCGAGTCCCGAAGGTCTCACGTGCAACTGACGCAAAAGGCCATCTTTTCTTGCTTTAAAAGTGTTCTGAATAATTACGCATGTCTTTTTATTGTGTGTTAAGTTTAAATGGGACAGCCTCTTGTACTGTGCGAGCGTTCTTGTGGCCTAAAATAACTTTTTAAAGTAGTCTTAGTGTGAGATCCTCAAGTGTCCAGTCTCTCGAACTTCCTTAGCTGTCTCATTCACGACTGCGTTGGTTCGCGTGCATATACTCTAAGGACGCGGGTGGAGTTTTATCATACGGTATTTTTGCATTGCAGAAACCCGGATAAATCGGGCAGTCAGGATAAATTACCTTGATACTCTCAACGACTTCGTCCTACCCTTGCATGCGCGGGAGATCATTGTCATCCAGTTGAACCTCCATCAAGCGGCAACCCTTTGTTAATTAATTTTAAAGCAGCCAATGATCAAAGCCCCGAAATATTTGAAGAAAAGAATTGCAAATGAAACCTTTATTAAGCTAGACTGCGAAAGAGTAGGTTTTTCTCAAAATCTGTTTAGCGTAGCTTTAGAGTAACACACGCACAAAGTGCGCGAGCGTTACACACCCGTCGCCGGTAATCAGTTTGTAGCGTTGCAGTTGTGTCCTCCGCTGCAGTTTGGTCCTCTCACCTATCAACCAATAGAATGGGGTTTTATTCAAATGTAGTTTTCAGTGTCTCTCCCAGTCTCGCTCTCTGTTTTCAGCCTCGCTCCAGATCGCTCCGTACGTTAATTTGTTTGACTGCTCGCGCGTACTCACCCAAAAACACGGACTGTTTTGCAGTCTACTATTAAAAAAGCGGCCACCTTCGTCGAGCGGCCGCGGCCACCTTTTGACCACCCCGATGAGAGTTTTCACCGACAATTAAGTGCCAACCTCGTTCCCAGGATCTCTCTCCTACCCGTCGAGAGAACCGGCCTGGGAACGAGGTTGATTGCCGATAGAGATTGACGACTAATTGCAGTGGACCAGTTATCACGAATGAGCAATGCCGTTCCTGTCGCGTGTTTGTAGTAAATCGAACGTTTATTTATCAACCCAAATATCAGTTGACAGTACTTATATGGGAATGAAAGTTCTCCCTACTCAGCCTACTCCTTTCAGCAACTCTCGGCTGGGAGAGTCTCAGTTTCATTTCTTAATCACTCGTACAGATGACTCGTATGATTACAGACCGGATTGGACTCCACTCAGTCCTGTTACCAATTAATAAAAACTTTAACAGAATTTTTGACACAATAGGCTATGTTTTAAAACAAAACACAAGAAATTCCAAATTTGTTTTGCTAACAGTGAAAAAAAAAAAGCCATTTAAGCGCGCGCGTGATGGCGCGTACTGTCCAATTACTTAAGCATAACGCGTACTGTCCTATTAAACTGTCCAATTAAGGCTGAAATCAGGGCAGTTGATATACAATCAGATTTTACAATTTTGCTATGGTTATCATTATAGTAATAATAATAATAGTAATAATAATAGCACTGTGCGATTTTCCGCAGGCACAGGAAAAGTCGCTAATTTTCCAGCTGCGTAATGGACATAAGGGGAAGAAACAGCTGTATTCGCGGCAGTACCGGTCGTTTCTATCGATACAAGTTTATCCAGTGGAAGTGTAAATAGTTTCACTTACTTGGTTTAAAGAACGAAGAGTATTCACTACAAATGTTTCTCTTTTCCAAGCGCAAATGAAGTGAGCGAATTTGTGTTACTGTCAGTGCTTTGTATCGAAATGACCGGTTTCAGTATTCGCAGGCTCATGTCTTGCAAGGTGGCAGTTTTACCTAAGGAAAATATAAATATACTGTTTATAGTTAAACACTTCTTTACGTCGACCTCCGTTGACGTGAAAATCATCAACCTCGTCCTCAGGGCTTTTCCCTCAAAAAATGGGTGGGACGAGGTTGGAAAATCATGTTTCTTTTGTTGTTTAATTAGCGGCATACCGTAAATTTAGGACAAATAAGGGAGAGTGCCCCCGGCTCTACAGCCTCCTAAACTCTACTTACTCATTGTACAAAGAACTTTGAGAATATAGAACCAACCATATCGTAACTTAAAAACTGCATGATATTAATTTACTTCCAAAGAGCAGATGTGTTACCCTGGGTGCCAGAGGCTTTTCATGCGCGGTTTCCGGTTTCGGTCAAGTCTTAAAAAGTGACCCGCGCGAAAAGCGTTGCCGCTCGTGTCTTCGGCCAAACACGTGTCGGCCTGCGGCCGACGAAACGAAGCTCTCCGTCGCACGCGAGAAAAAACCTCTGGTACCCAGGGTCCAGATGTGTCAATACCTCTAATTTAATTTGGAAGGGAACCGCCCACTGAATGTTCTGTATGTCCGGTTCGGATTCTCGTAGACTACCACTTCCGTAATTAGGTGATCTTGCGCATAGCCCAAGTATCATGCCTCAGGTCATAAATTACACCACGAAGTCATGCGCATTCTAGGTGGTCGCTTACAAGAGCCCAGACTGCGATCACTCTCTCTTTCTTCAGATTAAAAGTACGGGGAGAGAACGAGCATTTGCGTATCTCGCGAGTTTCGCTCGACGGTCTAAGAAAAAGAGAGACTGCTCGTAGTCTAACGAGAGTCTCGACTTTATAAACTTGACGGGTAAAAGTGCCCTGTTGCAAAAATTTCAGGACGTTACTGATATGAGCGGTCTTACATCACCATGAAACTGCCGTCATAGAATTCAGAACTTGTGAAAAAACTCACTTGGGGTATATGATTGGGTGACCTGCGGTTAATTGTTTCACCAGCATCCGCATGTATTGTTTTTGACAGAAACGTTATTTGCATAAACACAATATAAAGCTAGAAAGAGGTCAAATTTCTGTTAAGTATGTTTATACGACAGGGCTCTTGAACTCAGAACATCGAAGTGATTAATGGAATTGCGTCCAATTAGTGGGATCAAAAAGCTGATGGCATTACCACGGTGACGAAGTTTGCCCCAGGTCAACGAATATTAATAGAACTATAAATCGCGTTCCAAATTTACAAAGCTGAAAGTTTACTAGTAAATTACAAGAGTGTTCTCTTATGGTAATTGCCTCAAAAGAACTGTTTAAACACTCTAATGCTATTGGTCAACAGAGCGGTCATTAATCTGGATGGATACTGAGTCTATTTATTCGCTACAGAACATTCATGCCGTGTGTGAAATGCGAAACGGATTTATTTAGCTGGGAGCAAAGAACTTTCATGTGATTTCCTGGAGTTGAGTTCCTAAATGAGAACCCATCAAGACGTTGAAAGAGTAAAGAATCGAACTCACACACCGTTAGAAAACTATGAGTACAAATGGCGTACTTCTCTCTAACGGTTCTTCGCAAGACAACGACCACGAAAGCGCGAGATTAGGATCTGTTATTTACCTTTGTATAATTGGAGTTTGCGGCGTTATCGCGAATTCTCTNCAAATTTACAAAGCTGAAAGTTTACTAGTAAATTACAAGAGTGTTCTCTTATGGTAATTGCCTCAAAAGAACTGTTTAAACACTCTAATGCTATTGGTCAACAGAGCGGTCATTAATCTGGATGGATACTGGGTCTATTTATTCGCTACAGAACATTCATGCCGTGTGTGAAATGCGAAACGGATTTATTTAGCTGCGAGCAAAGAACTTTCATGTGATTTCCTGGAGTTGAGTTCCTAAATGAGAACCCATCAAGACATTGAAAGAGTAAAGAATCAAACTCACACACCGTTAGAAAACTATGAGTACAAATGGCGTACTCCTCTCTAACGGTTCTTCGCAAGACGACGACCACGAAAGGGCGAGATTAGGATCTGTTATTTACCTTTGTATAATTGGAGTTTGCGGTGTTATCGCGAATTCTCTCGTCATTTTCGTATTCTGGAAATACCCAAAGCTCAGAACGGCTGCTAATCTGTTTATTCTAAACCTAGCAGTTTGTGATTTGATGCTGTCGCTGTTGGACAATACGTTTTCCATCGCGGCCACGTTGCATGGGAAGTGGTTGTTTGGTCGAGGCGGCTGCATCTCTTATGGATTTTTCCATTACTTTTTCATATGTTGTACTGTATCAACGCTTGCTGCGATTTCTGTGGATCGGTTTTTCTTCATAACGAGGCCAAGTCAAACCAGGGCTGTTCAAATAATTACACGGAGAAAAGCTATAGGAATACTAGCGATAATCTACTTGTATACAATTTTGTTTACCTTTCCACCCTGTGTTGGTTGGAACAATTTCGTGGAAGAGGCGATCTTTTACAGCGGCTGCTATATTAACTACGGCGATCAAAGAACGTCTTCGATAGCATATTCAGTAATCGCTCCCTTCTTTCTTTTCCTGATACCGCTTACGATAATGATTTATTGCTACGCAAGGATTTTTTTCGTCGTTCGTCGAAGCACGCAGCGAACTATTGGACGATCACTTGGGACGCAGACATCCGTCAGGAAACGACACCCACTTCTTAAGAGGACCCACATACAGACTGCTAAAATGATTATTGTCGTTATATTTTTCTCAATGATTGTTTGGGTTCCTTATGTTGTTGTCTCCTTCATCAAAGCCGCCAACGGGCACATAGCGCCTTTGGTGTCACACATCACTGTTCTTGTTGCCAAGTCGTGCGTGATTTACAACGTGCTAATTTACGCGATTTTGAACAGGAAACTTAAGGCTGCTATATTAGACGCAGTTTGTTGTGGAAGACAGACCTTTTCTCTGGTCGGAACCCCTAGTTCTGGCAGCAATGCTCAGAAGAATAGAATAAGTAGGATTTTGAGTGAAACCGATGGGCCATCGCCTGTATCGGACGCACAAAAGAACCGCCTCAGTGCTTTGTCAATACAACAATCTAATGATAGTGTCCACAGTCAATATGCGGATAATACTTCTGCGCCTCGTTCTCCAAAACTAAAGAACGGTATTTGGAAAGCTGTAGAGTTCAAGGACCAGGAAAGAAAAGACAGTGTTGTAGAAAATACCGGAAAGGAAGGTGCTGAAGTTTCTGGAAGTGCTGCCGATTCACATCTGGACAGAAATGGGAGCATAGACACTCCCTCGGGAACTTACACACGGAAAAAGGTTTCAAAACTTAAACGGCCCTCTGACACCAGCCAAGATAATGTCGAAGCTGAGAATATTGTTTCGCTCGGGGCCACGGAGGTAAAGAGCGCGTATTTAAACTCTGACGGAGTGACTAAAGATTCCTCCAAATACACCACAGCTGTGGATATGAAACTCACGGCGGGTTCACCGCTGGCTAACTCAATCGCAGATTCTGTTCCTCAGCGTATTCACTACCTTTATTCGTCACGGAAATCTCGCTCCCAAACCCTTTCTTCTCCATCCCAACTGTACAAGAAAGGTTCTCGTCCAATTAGTGCGCAACAAGTGACTAAACGTATTTCACCTGCTTCGAGTGTTCCACGCGCGAGCAGCAGCACGGATCAAGAGAGTGACACTTCGAGAGGACATTCTCGCGAGCCTTCGCGTCAGCATTCTCGAGAGGGTTCTTTCGTTCATCGCTCGGCAAGCTCGCGAAGGACCAAAAAGCCACGATCCGCAAACAGGACAAACGCGAAACACCCACCGTCGCGGAGAAAAAGTTACAGCCACGTTAACTATGGCAGAAGAGGAGGAGCCATTGATCCTCTCCATACCACAGCCCAAGAACTTTTGGAAATACAAAATTACTGGAAGCGTATGAGTCTCTGTCTGGACGACATTGATTTAGACGATGTGACTCGAGGCACGGAAATGGTTTAATTGGTGTGTTGTCCAATAACAAGCAGTTTTTTCCCTTCAAGATCACCTTCCAAATCCAAGCGTGCACAGGGACCCCACTCCTCAACGTTAGTTCCTTTTCCTAACAAGGGGAGCGGATGATAAATAAACACAGGCTATGCGAATTCGCATTTCTTGTGATAAGCAAGCCTGCGAAAAAGGAAAAGAAAAAAGAAGAAGAGCACCTGGGAGTGAAAGAATTCATCCTTTCTAACCTTTCCAGAATCGTACCGTACATAATATTGCTCTCATGAGTCAGTTTTGTACCAGACACATGCCTAAATTTTTCAAGTTAAGTTGCTTAAATTTAAAATATCTTTCAGCGTTTGCTATCTTTGTTACTTTTTACCAATGAATGATTCGTTTTTTACGTTTTCTTAGCGGACGACTGTGTCAGCTATGAGCATCACTTCTAGCAGGCGTGGCAGGCTACGGTTAGTTTTTAAAGAACAAGGGAAAGAAGCAAGATTTTACAGTTGGCCAAAATATTTTGTATCGCTTATTAGTCCCTCTATTGGTATCCGCCTCTTTTTACTTTGTAACGTTGGTCCTTTAGTGCCTCCAAAACTAAACTCATTTTTATAAAGCGCACGAGGGGAAAAGACGAAGGTAATTCTCTCCCCTTCTGCCCGCGCGTGAGTCCTCGTACAATCGGCGCCTGCTACGGAGGCTATAGATCTGCTTTCTGATCCTCTTTAGACGTGTTAGCATGATGGTCATTCTGAAACTGACTGTTAGGTTTGCTGGTACTTTCAATTCGCAATGAGTATTTATTTTTCGCAAGATTATCATGCCCATAGATTAATAAATTTTTAGACCATTTGAGAGTCAAACTAATATATTTGGAACCAGCAGTTTTATTTAAGAAGATATTTTTTGTGTATTGTATGGCCCAATAAATCGTTGAGTCAGTATAAACGAGTGACTTACCTCTTGAGTAAGAGATTTAATTTACAAGGCAGGCGACGAAGACGTGTTGTTGCAATCGCCGCACTTCCTTTGGCAGACACCTTCAGCTAATAAAATAACTTTTACAGCTTCCAGTTCTTAATACCCGACGTAGTCAATCTATTGTTTAGTTATCGAACTCATTCCGGAATTTAATCGGAATGATAATCCATAGATCAAGTCCCGATTAAGTCCCTTTTACCTGCCAGCGAGGGCAAGCGCGAAGCGAGCGAGGAGCTCCAGACACACTCGACAGGGGAAGGTGCATTCCGCCGTCGCGCGTGTGTCGTGTCTGGCGGTGCTTCTCGCTCGCTTTCGCGCTCTTTCTCGTTCGCCTGAAAAACGCGAAAATAATAATAATAATAATAATAATAATAATAATAATAATAATAATAATAATAATAATAATAATAATGATAATAATAAGCCTTTTCCGCAGGCCATGCATAATCGAACAACACTCATTTTTTTCCCGTGAGTTCAATTATCGGCGAACAAATCGAACTATCAGTAATTGAACTCAAACCAGTTCGATTAAGTTTGATTACTTCGGTAGTCGAACAATTATTAAATTGCACGACTCTTTTCAATCAGTTCGAGTTCGCAATTCGACTACATACCGAACCAATCAAACTTAATCAAACGAATCCAACTAAAACCGAACTCAGTCAAACAAATGCGATTGATTTCCTTTAAACCCTTATATCAATATTCAGATTCTCATTTTTTGCTCAGATCAGTAGGCCACCTGATTTCCCTAGAGTTGAATTCCTGGCCGGGGATCGAATCCTAGTTCAGAAAGAGAAAGAAACATTCATTGTGGGTTTTTACGTCCTCTACAACGAAACGTCGCATGAGGAAATTTCGCCGGGTCTTGGTAGTGCAGGGACAGAAAAGAAAGGTACCAAAAAGTATGCTGCGCCCGCAAATTGTTGTCTTGCTTATTAAACCTACGGTTTTTGTGTCGTTTTTACCTCTGCTAAAGCTGCCCCTACACATGCATTATCTTATATTTGATATTAATGGCTGAACCCTGCCTAAAATCCCACCACTGTCAGCGCTAGCCACGGCAGTTGGTCTACAAAATTGAGTCCTTGCTAATTGAAACTATGCTCTGTTCACTTCTGCTGAAAATGATATGTCTCTCCCTCTAACAGCAAGTTTTACTGGTTGATCACAAAAAATGATAGAGGGACGGAAGGGGAGACGCTCAGTCAAGCCTGGAGTCGCCTCCTTCACTGGCAAACTCCTTTTGTAACGGTAACAACACTGACCGTGAGGAGTCTGATCACTGTCGCTCCCCGTTCTCTCTACCATTCTTTCACCCGTTCTCTAAAACAGGACAGCTGGGTGATACCAGCGGACTGGAAACCACCTGAGTCTCAAGCTCTTCTTTTATAGTTCTCGGAGAATAAGCTATCTCTTGAAATCAAAAAGTCAGTGAAAAGTCACAATTTATGATATTTAAAACCATAAACAGAAACACTGGTAACAAAAAGACAATCATGCCGAAAAAATAAACACCAAATCGCGCGAGTTATAATGTTATAAAGTGCACAAAATCATTCATATTTGTACTTTGACGATGACATGGAAACAACACATTGACAACTTTTCAACCGAAATATCAAAAAGAAACAAGGGAGAATGATCTAGCTCATTCTCTCTTGAAAGAAACAGACATTATCATGACATAAGGCACCGCTTATATGACCTTACCAACAATCTTAAATACAATGATAGCTTATGATGATCAGCCCATACTTGGCATTTATAAAAAAAAAAATCGTTTAGAGTGTTACCAACCTCGTCCCCAGGGCGCTCCCCGGCCGAAGACGAGGTTGAGTGTTTTACACTGTTTAAAGTTAGGTAGAAAACCAACCGCGCCTGATTGCGTTTAATTGAGATATGACCAAGACGTTAAATTATGGGTCATGTTTTTGAATAAACTATTCCCTGTACGAGCACTTACCTCATTAAAACGACTAGGATTTTATGGCCCGAAGGTGACCGCGTTAACGGGGTTTGCGTTGCCGACTTATATAACAAATTAAGTCGGACGTGGGGGAGTATTACATAACTTAATAGTATACAGAGTCCAGAAGGGAAATGAAAGAAGGAAAAGACACCAAGACCTTCGTCATGATTAGGGTCGGTGAAACTGTTTTACCTAAATTTACCGAAATTTATATAGCTTTGTATGGAGACGCCAGATTGGTGCCCCTCTGAGGGGCACCAACATGGCGGACGGAAACAGAAAAATCTGTTACAGAGTTTTGCTACGAATTCATCCCTTGCGGAAATCATTAACTTGAAACTAGTATTTTTCCTAATCCAAAAACTGTTCAGGTAGAAAAATACCCCAATGTAATAAGTCTCCTTTTTATGACTTTTATCCTACATGACAGCTCTCATGGTCGCCACGTTAATTGCCGTGTCACGCAAAAGACTAGAAATTCAAGCTTACTCTATTACGAAACGAAAGACCCTTTCGAAGTAAAAATTCTTCAAAAAGTAACACTTTGAAAGGAAAAACTTAGGAGGATCGACAAAAAGAAAAGTTTCTCGGAAAGCTCTTAGGATCATAGGATTGGATGGAAGGTCCGTTGCAGGTGGATAGTGGAGCAATATTTTAATTAGATTTTTCGGGTCAACTTTTCATGGTTTTTCGCGTTTTTCACCGGTCTCTTCGACGAAATCGTGTTCATTCTGCTATGGTTCGAAAGGTTTCTCCCCCTGCACAAGTATTACAAAGTTAAAAATGATGACGTCAGAAGCGGTACAAGGGACGTTGATGGGTTAATAAATCATTCAATGTTATGGGGAACTGGGTACAAGTCCTTGTTTTATGTAAAGCATACAACAGACCCACATGGTCAGAAAGAGCGCACCAAGGGTCAATTTAATAAAATTTTTACAAGTGTAATTCGCAGATTAAAACGTGAACTGCTGTCAAAAAGACAACTGTATAGACAGTAGTTACAACATGAATAGACGGTAGTTACAATATTTAGGGTAACCATTCACTTAAAGTCTGGAACAGGTAGTTTCACATGTAAATTAAAATTAGTATAGGTAATAGCATGATTTGTAGTGATATTTGGCATAAATACCACGAGTGATATTTCGAAATTGTTATACGTAATTTCACGAGCTGTCAGGCGAGTGAAATTTGAGACAATTTTGAAATATCATGAGTTGTTTTTATGCCAAATATCATTTAAAAAATCAAGCCAATTATTTGTTTAAACTACTACCCGCAAAAGGTTTGTAATTTTCACATTTAGGTATTTCAAATTAAGCTGAAATACCACTGCTCTGAGCCAATCAAATTGCAGAAATTTCTCATGTAGTATAAAACTTGTAATCGTTGTATTTACCCTCGAACGTACAACGTAGAAGGTGGTGGTGGATGCCACCCCCCCCCCCCCCCCTAAATTTTTTTTTTTTTTTTTTTAAAGGAAAAAGAAAAAAAACAACATATTTTCTATTTATTTTTCTTTCACCCCCTCCCCATTTTTTTAACGAGCTCAAGTGAATAAAATATATTGT